GTGTGTGTGTGTGTGTGTGTGTGTGTATGACACAGAGAGAGAGAGAGAGAGAGAGAGAGAGAGAGAGAGAGAGAGAAGGGAGGGGGGGGATCAGATGTAGCGTCCGTAACTGGGCGTGTTTCGGGAGTGGTGCAGAAATCGCTATTTCTGCATCTCTACGTGAAACACATCCACATGCAGTCTGGTGCAGATGCTCAAGCCAATCCTTCGTATGAATGAGACCTCCCCACCCGCCTTTCTCTTCTCGCACTCTCGTTCCCCACGTGGACGCACTGAGGGCCTACTCACACTTTTTTTTTTTTTTTTAATTAAAAAACAGCTCCATCTATTGGTGGGAAGCAGCACCTGCTGGAAACCGGGTCCAGCGTCCATAGATACAACCATATCCTCTCAATTTGGCACAAACTGGGAACCGGGCCCAGCGTCCCATCGTCAGAAAATTTCATGAAAATGGACAAGGAACTACTAGAAAAATCCAAACAGCAATTAGTGGAAGTCCTTCAAATGCTCAGAACCCCTGGAAACCCCCCACAAAAAACACTCTAAAATTCTCTTATACCGTCTTCTTCCCTGCCGAACTCTCCCAGGCCTCATGCCCCCACCCTGCTAGGTTACAGGGCAATACGACTCACCCCAGCTCCGTCCACCGTCGTCCCGACAGCAACCCTTGGTTTTCCCTTGGAATGCCCGGCCCAAAGCATCCCCAGATCTCTCTACCAGGCCTCACGCTCCTGCTATTAACAGGTTACAGGGCAATCCCCCAGCACCGGCCAGTGTCGTTCTGGCATCCAAAAACCAACAGATCCATGAGTAAACAGCATCAGGGAAACCTAGACTGCTTTGCAAGAAGTACCCAGGGTCCTAAAGAATTCTCAAGACTACCAAAAGTATCCAGAAACATCTCGAAACTGGCAAAGAAACTAGGGCCAGATTTTTTTTATTTTTTTTTTTGAGGTGACTACAACCAATTCAGAAATCTACTCAGAGAAACCCCCCATCAAACCTCTACGCCTCCCTCCGGCAAGACTAACTGCAACAGAGCCACCATCTCTGCTGCTGCTGTACCATACTTCCATCCTACCAGCTAGCCCCCTCACTAGTAGGACGCGTGATATCCCATCATTTCCTTCTCCCACCCACCTTATTCTTCTTTTTAAACCACCAGTACCTCGCTCAGCTATCGGCCGCGGGCACTCCCATATACGCGCCTCAGCCCTAGGGGGGTGGGCCTCAGCCCTAGGGGGGTCGGCCAAGGGAAGGCCCGGTCGCTGCGCGAAGGCCGGGCTCCGCTTCCCTAGGAACGACACACTAGAGAAAACCAAAAAAAAAGAAAGAAGGGAAAAAAACAAAACAAATACACAAACGAAAAAAAAAACGAACGGACAAAAAGTTGAAGTCACGCGAGAGAGAGAGAGAGAGAGAGAGAGAGAGAGAGAGAGAGAGAGAGAGAGAGAGAGAGAGAG